GGTTATGCCAAACAAATGGTGATCGTTGATTCTAATCTCGGTCGGCGTGTGAAAGTCTGATGAACTTTAATAAGTCATCTTTCCTCATTATTCCAGTCGACCCAGCTGTAAATGGGTCCTGATAATCCGGGAGAGATCAATGCCAAAAGGTTTGACCAAGGATCAGCTGGTAGAAAGGATCCTTGTGAACCTAAGTTGTTATCCTTGTAAAATCAATACCGAGAGGTTTGACCAAAGATCAGCTGGTAGAAAGGATCCTTGTGAACCTAGGTTGTTATCCTTGTAAAATCATTACCAAGAGGTTTGACCAAAGACCAGCTAGTAGAAAGGATCCATGTGAGCCTAAGTTGTTATCCTTGTAAAATCATTACCAAGAGGTTTGACCAAGGATCAGCTAGTAGAAAGGATCCATGTGAGCCTAAGTTGTTATCCTTGTAAAATCATTACCAAGAGGTTTGGTCAAGGACCAGCTAGTAGAAAGGATCCATGTGAGCCTAAGTTGTTATCCTTGTAAAATCATTACCAAGAGGTTCGACCAAGGATCAGCTGGTAGAAAGGATCCATGTGAGCCTAAGTTGTTATCCTTGTAAAATCAATACCAAGAGGTTTGACCAAGGATCAGCTGGTAGAAAGGATCCTTGTGAACCTAAGTTGTTATCCTTGTAAAATCAATACCAAGAGGTTTGATCAAGGACCAGCTGGTAGAAAGGATCCATGTGAACCTAAGTTGTTATCCTTGTAAAATCATTACCAAGAGGTTTGACCAAGGATCAGCTGGTAGAAAGGATCTTTGTGAACCTAAGTTGTTATCCTTGTAAAATCATTACCAAGAGGTTTGACCAAGGACCAGCTGGTAGAAAGGATCCATGTGAGCCTAAGTTGTTATCCTTGTAAAATCATTACCAAGAGGTTTGACCAAGGATCAGCTGGTAGAAAGGATCCATGTGAGCCTAAGTTGTTATCCTTGTAAAATCAATACCAAGAGGTTTGACCAAGGATCAGCTGGTAGAAAGGATCCTTGTGAACCTAAGTTGTTATCCTTGTAAAATCATTACCAAGAGGTTTGACCAAGGATCAGCTGGTAGAAAGGATCCATGTGAGCCTAAGTTGTTATCCTTGTAAAATATAGTTATTTCATTCTTTCTGTTGGAATCGAAAGCATCGAAGGGGTTGATGGTGTTTACGATAGTGACGTCATACTCCGGTCAGGACCTTTTGACGACCTAATTTGGAAATAAATTTTAAAAACTGTTTAATCATGGCGACTGTAGATATCGAATATTGTATTTTGAATAGTTTATAATGAGAGGATTGAATTACTCTAGAATTTTAATATTCACTATTAACAAACACTACAAAATAAATAGTAGTGAATTCTTAATCAAATAATAACACATTTTATAAAGTTTAGTTAGTAATGGAGAATTGCATATCGTTCTTAAAAATAGATTCGCATATTTGCAAATGGACGAAATTTTCGTTTTATTTCGTTAAAAAGCCTTAAAGGGATTGTGAAGAGGTTTTCTAAATTTTTTATGTTTATCAAACACTTAGCTTTAGTGGAATTACAAGAACCACAGACATCTGATTGAAAATTAGAATGATGTAAATTGATGCTATCAGTGTCTCTGATACACATAAAAAATTTAGAAAACCTCTTTACAATCTCTTTAACAAGAACCACAGACGTCTGATTGAAAATTAGAATGGTGTAAATTGATGCTATCAGTGTCCCTGATACACATAAAAA